CGGATGAACTGGACGTAACAACAAGAGCGATAGGCAAAGAGATTGTCGCTTGGCCCTGTGTGTTCACTTGATGGCAGTCAATTGACAGCACACTGCAAACTCATTGACAGAATGTCTTCTGGTTACACTTGACCTTCCGTTCCATTTAAACTAGGCCAAGAAACTTGAAACGCTTAGGTCAGCTGGTCTTGCGTTGAAAGCTTGCGACTAGTATTCAGATAACAATGGTTTCTGCTACTGTCAATTTTCACATACCGCGTTGCCTTGGATCGACTACGTATGACAGATCTAAAACGCCGGGCGCATTACCGGGTCCGTTTTACCAGCAGTGTCTACTGCATGCAATACCCGTCTATTCATAAACTAGACAATTTTCATTGTCCCTTAACCTTTTCAGATAATCTTCTGATAGTGCTACTCATGAAGACGACACCACAAACCTTCAAAATAATAAATGAATATTGATGACATCAGCTTCGGCAGTTTGTCATTCGGTTGCATTCGGATAATCGGTGTAATCTAGATCGTAAATCTAATCTTAGCCGCTATTGTATATGTGGCATTAATGGCAGCTCTCAGGGTGAGTTAGCCTTTCCCATCACTCATCTGTTTTGAACAGATTTTCCTAGCTCAATAGTTTATTCTTTGTAACAAATGCGAATTGTGTCAGAGAGGGAGTCTGCTTCAAACATTTTTGATACCTTGGTCAGGGTAACCGTCTTTTTGCGTGAACTGGTAAGTAAATTCCAGCTCATTTTTCAAGGTGCCTCCTGAGAGTGGACCTTCAAAGGTAGGCGGTGAACAAGGATTTGTATGCCCCTGTCGTGGGACAAATCAATAGACTTCTGCTTCTTGTCAATACCATGTTAGCTTCCCGTGAATTCACTGTTTCTACTTCTGTCATGAACTTTATCAGCGGACGACTGTGGTTGATGATGTGACTCACAACTACTCTTCAGTAGTAGCGTGCAATAATGGATTTTGACCGAGCATTCTTTTGGTCTTCATCTTCACTTGCAATCCGCTGTACCCCCATGCTATCATACATCTGGGCAGTAGCAGACCACAGTTTCCATCCCCTTAGAGGATATTTTGTAATGTCTTATAGAATCCATAAAGTAAACTGTACTGATTTAGACCGTCGAAAAGGCGACAGATGATCCCTCCATCAATTAAAAAATAATGGTGCTGACTGATATAGTCATTTGTCATTCAAAATAGGTTTGAGTTATTCTACAGCTAGTTTTTTATGGTGATCCTAGCCCACGAGATGACGCACCCCACAGAGTGACACGTTACAGTTTTCAGACAACTGTGATCAATCAAGCTTCACGGATGAAGTCAGCAAAGCGCGTATGTGTTACAGCTTCGAGACTACAGACCATACGTCGATTTTACCAACCGAAACCGTGCAGCCCAGACAGTAGCTGAACAACGCCAGAAATACTAGCACGCGATTGGCACAGGCTTAGAAGACCAATGAACTTGTTTTGTAGATATTATTTAATCCCCTTGATTTCTTTCAATAAACGAACTGGTGCTATTCCTGTGACCTTTTCCTTTTCCGTGGGATGCTGCGTGCAAGTACCAGTGTGATTCAGTGCTTATGTTGCGTCCGTGATTGCTGGTTCGTGATTTCTAATTCGTGATTCGTACTTCGTGATCAATGCATACTAAAATTACTACATTTTTCCAGTTATAATAGTTGTAAAAACAATACAAAAACATTCAATGGCCCCATCGCATCAGCTGTGAATTTTCCTGTTCTGGATAAAACATTGTTCTAAAGCCGTTGATGTAATGAATAGATTAGCTTCTACCTCAAACACAAGGCCAAAATAAACTTATGTGCACTGCTGCGATGTATCGGATTTTATTGTCAGAAAATTAACCAAAAGCAAACACAAGTTGTATGAATTCTTTTGAAAACTCGTACTACAAAGTTGCTCAAAATGTAATAAAATTATTCCGTTTTGGAATTTATTTCAACCGAATTTAAGCGCTTGATTGTTTTTGTAAATTTCTCCCATATCTAGGGATTCGAACCGGTGAAAGTGTGCTGAAGGCATGCAGCTACACAAGCGTTACAGTCTCGGCCGACACTAAAACCATCTTTGCGGTTGGGTCCGATCGATCACTGAAGGAAATAAGCGACTCACAAGTAAGAATATTTACTACAAGCATTTTAATCTTAGTTAAATTGAATTTCTCTGCTACATGATTATGATCCAATCCAATAGAATCGTAATTTTTGCTATCGTCTCTTACTTGAAAAAGACGAATTTCTGCACATCGATGGACTACATATGAATTTCCTTCCGATCGGGAAAAATCGTTTCCCTACAGTCACTTTGATAATCACCCACGCGAGTCGATTGAAACTCACCCTCCCTATTGCTTCTTATTTTTTTGAAACCTTCATTTAATCGCCTTTTCATGTTGAAAGAACTAGCCAATGATATTAATCATACCTCTTACTCATTTATGAATGATCTCATTACTCGACCATTATCATTTATCTTCACCCCAAGGAAATAGGATTACGCTAAACTTTTGCTCTTTTCCATCCCACCAGATCACACGAGAGATCATGTCGCAAGATGTGTTGTTAACCACCGTCGTTTTGTCGCGTTCCGGACGTATGCTATTCTGTGGAAGTCAGACAGGACGTTTACGATCGTTTGGGTTTCCGTTGAGTGAACATCCGGATTGGCAAGATTTTATCGGACACTGTGCTCCGATCACTAAAATGAAACTGACCGCTCAAGACGAATTTCTGGTCACCGCATCCGATGACTGTTCGGTAATGGTTTGGAAAGTGCAAGAACGTGATGGTCGTGTGG